CCTCCTTGGATTGGAAAAAAATATGTTCTTTTTAATAGACTCTTCACAACCAGTGGATTCTTGCTTGGATTCCATGGGCTCCCAGATCACCCTTCCTCCTTCCCTTACATATAATATGCATTGATGGTTGAACAAGGACAACATAAGAATGGGAGTGCCACCTCCTCTGCCTTGTCGAGAGTTGCATCTGTTCACATATGCTTTTCTCCAAGGTTGGGGCAATGCTCTTAGATCAAAAAGTCTTACCATATCAACATCTTGGAGTTTCTTGCTGTGTGACGTGCTTCGGATTGTTTTCTCCTTTCATGGAACTGACTTGTTAAAATTCATTCATACAGTTCTATAGTTGTTGCCAATATCAATCACCAAAGTAGCACCTTTTCCAGTTCCCTTTCTGGTCGAACAATAGAATTGCTTCATTGGGCCCACACACTGTAGATACATTTTATTGCATTTTCCTGTTGCTTTCAACCTCATGGCTGATCACCTATCATGACTAGATCAGATTTATCCAACAAAGTGGTCCCTTGACCCTCAGGTTTTCCAGTGACTATGCAATCTGTGGGATACTCCTCTTCTAGATGATTTTGCTACTTTCCTCAACACCAAACTATCTATTTTTTGGTTTCCAGTTCTTCATCCTTAGGCCCTGGCTGTGGATGCTCTCAGTGAGGACTGGAACAACTGATGCCTTTATGTCTACCCACTCATTCATCTCCTTTCCAGGGCCCCATCTAGGTGGATTTTGTATGTGGTGAGGGAACCTCCCAGGGAAGGTTCTGTATTTTCAGTTACCTTCTCTGGGATCTGAATGTCCACCCGTGTGTTTGCCGTGAGTGTCACCTATGAAGAGGAAGAGAGGATCCTGGTGGTTGAGTGGTGTCTGGACACTGCAACACATCACTTTGGCCTTGAATTCCTGTAGACAGGAGACCTTGGGGTGGCCCCCTAGAATCAATCAGCTGGATCTTGTTGGGCTAGGGTCAACTGAGTACCGGTGTTGGGCATTCTCAGTGGGTGTTGTGGACATTGTGTCTGATGGCTGGTGTTTGGGTGTGGTGCTCATGAAGCCCTGGCATTTCTGCAGTGTCCTTGTTTGGCATTGTAACGCATCCCCTCATAGGACCCCATGGTGGGTGGGGTCAGTGGGCACTGAATCTTTCTCCTTTCATTATGGATCCCCCCAAATCCTCAAAAATAAAATTGTAAAAAACGGTTAATTGGTAAATGACCACGTCTTGAAGACTCTGACCAGCAATCTTCAACCCATTCTGAACCTGTACATTGCTTTTTTGATCTTTTATTCCTTGTTAGACAAACTTTTAGGGCAAATGTCTCCCTTCTCAAAGTCAGTTAAGAAGCTACATTCTGGGGACATCTTAGTGGAAACATCTACACCAAAGCACAGTGACCTCCTCCTGAATTCAAAGGCCATTGGGAATATACCCATTGAGCTTACTACCAATGATACTTTGAATTCCTCACGTGGAGTTATTGTTGAGAGCGATTTGAAGAACATCCCCAAGTTGGAGACCATTCGCTGGCTTCTCCAGCCAAGGAGTTTCTGCAGTGAAAGAAGGAATTATGCTGCCTACCAATGTTCTTATTTTGACGTTTACATATCCACCTGCCACTGTCAAGGTAGGTTATCTGAACTGTTAAGGTACAACCTTATATTCCTAATCTCTCCTTTGTTTGCAGTGTCAGTGGTTCAGACATTTAAAGAACACTTGTCGTGGTTTATTGACTTGTGCTCATTCTGGTGGCAAAAACCACGGTGCCTATGAATGTCAACTGGACCCTCACTGCATTAATTGTAGTAGTTCCCACCCCTCCTGCTATCCTTCTAGCCCTAAATGGGAGAAAGAGGTACAGCATTTAAAAATGGTTAACAACATTTCTTATCTAGAGGCTCCATCACAGACATATGTTGCTGCACTCTGTTCCATTGCTACAGTTTGTGTTTGTAGAAAGCTTTCCGTGCCTTTGTCAGTGTCTTTTTCGCATCCCTCTGTGGATGAATGAGTTGACAAGTCCACATCTTCTCCTATCTCTTTCCCCACCATTCCTTCCAGTGACTGCCTGGGTCCATCTCCTTCAGCCCCTGCTTCCTGTGTCTGCTCTTGTCCAACTTCTTTAGCCCTGAGATGCAGAAAGATTATTCGTTCATGCCCTCAATTGCTGGAATCTAAGTCTGGAGACAGAGAACTGCCCACTTGACCAAGGGCAGGATCCATGGAGGTCAACAGACCTTCATCTAGCAAAGAAAAACAGAAGGGTTCTTCTCCACCTAAATAAAAATGGCCACTTTGATACAGCGGAACTATCGAGGTTTCTTTTCTAATTTGGATGACATTAAGGCCTTGATTGATACCTATCATCCTGTGTGTCTTTCTTTACAGGAAACATTCCTGAAACCCACTGATATAGTCACCTTTTGACAGTTTTCTAATATCGGAATGACAGGTTGGGTGATGGGCGAGTGCATATAGGGGTGGTGCTGCTGGTTGATCAGTGTGTGCCCACATTGTCTGTGCCACTTTATATACCCTTGGAGGCTGTAGCCATCCATGTTTCCTTGGGTTGTACCATCATTGTTTTTCTCTCTACCTGTCTTATGGTAAGACTTATGATAAATCAGACCTTCATGCACTTATAAAACAGTTGCTGTCTTCCTTTTTAATCCTGGAAGACTTTAATATACACAATTCCCTCTGGGGTGGTGCTGATATTGATGGAGGGGTCGTTCTGTAAAGCATATGCTCTTGAATCACAACGTTTCTCTCTTCAATACTGGTTCCTTTACCTAATTTCA